AAGAAAGCGAACCAGTACCTCGGCCTTCTTCGCAGAGCCTTCGGGATGTTTGACCGTTCAATCTTTCCAAAAATGCTTAATGCGTACGTGAGGTCGCACGCGGAATACGCTATTCAAGCGTGGCAACCCTGGCTCAAGCACCATCTCACCGCGCTCGATACTGCACGACGTAGGGCAACGAAGAGCGTCAGAGGTTTGACCAGCCTCCCCTACTCACACAGGCTGAAGACCCTCAAAATATACAGTGGACGTTATCGGCGTCTAAGGGGCGATCTCATAATAGTGTACCTAATCCTGAGAGACCCCAACCACCCATGCCATTCCCTTCTAATACTCAGTCAAAACACCTCGCTAAGAGGTCACCAGTTTTAGTTAGTCACGCAGTACAGCCGCCTGGAATGTCGGCGAAACTATTCCTCCCATCAAGTGGCACAGTCTTGGAACGCCCTCCCGGAACATGTAATTAATGCACCCACCCTATCCCTTTTCAAAAAACGCCTTGACGATACTCTGTTACATTTGCACTACGTGCTATAGCTCATGAGCACCAGATGCTGGCACTAATGTACAACAGACAGGGGATAGCGCCATAACCCTACTCAAGAATGAGTCTTTCCAAACGCCTTGCACGAAATTTGATAAACGCTACTACTACTATAGAAAATGGGTTTCTGTATCCTGTCGACCAAGATAGTTGCACACGAGTAAGCGTTGTCCATGCTACCTTTTTTATTTTTCTCGCCTACGATGTGAAAAATAACCACTCCCCTGTTGCTTTGTATGCGTATATTCTCATTTCAAACTCCCTTTATACGACAGTGCAGTTACATCTGTAAGCGCCCGAACTGACGACTCCATTATCTCTTAGCCAACATTTTTGTCACGCTAAACACCCTACGAGACATGTCAGGCACCTAATTTTTAACCCGTTATAAATCATTGTTCATTGTTCTTTGTTTCAGGTGATCGGTTTGCTACCTTGTCTTGGTGTTATTTTGTTACCTCATTTTAATGTTCAACACATGTGCTCATTTCGTTCAAACGAAAGGTGGTTAACCTCGCCAATTTTTTCTCCTACTTACATTTGTGCATTCAGCCCTTTTTCTGCATTCCTGCATCAATCAAGAAAATGCTGATAATCCATTTATCGTATAGTGTTCCGATTTATTTTTTCAACATTTCATTTTAAGTGATTCGCTGTTGCTTGACTTCCACAGTGTGCTGCGCTTGATGTGCATGTTGACAAGGTGCCTACCAGTCTAGTACCCACTATCTTCTCTATACTGGCTCCAGGAAACGATCGTTGATGGAGGAGACGGAGTGCATGGTCCTCGTGGTCGTGCTAGGCTGCAAGAGTGGTTCCATGCACTCAGTGTAGAGCTGACTACTGTTCAGTCGCCGCTTTGTGTGCGCTTGAATCCCAATTACAGCGTGCATGTGTTTGCATGTGAAGGTGTGTGCCAGCTCCGTTGAGGAAAAGTGGTTCCCATCAACGTATTTCCCGGTCTCATTCCTTTGGGGTTACACTGGATATGGGTGTGTGGTTGGAGCTGTGGGTGGTGCAGCGCAAGCCACCCATGGTCCCTCTGTAGGCGCAGGCAGCCTGTGGCTGTCCACCTGGAGGCCACATTGACAGGCAACTACGGAACCGGATGTCACCAACCATCAGTGAAGTTCAAGTGGCTGCACTATCGAAAGATTGGGCTACGGTTATTAAGTGGTCACGCTCATGGAATTTGTCCCTGCACGGCAGCAAATACCGAAACTTGATTCTAATTGATGAAGAGGTTGTATCGCATGCACAATTTGGGTCCCTGACGTTGCGACATGATACCGGGGAAGGCAATTTGGAAATCATCGTGATGAATAAGTTCAAGCAGTCGGTGTTGTGCAAACATGCTGCTAAGAAAGTACGACAACGAGAGCAATGAGTTGTCAGAGGTCTTTCTCCACTTGTATAAAGCAGTGGTCAGAACCCATCTAGAATACTGGGATTAGATCTGGGCACCCTACACGCATAAGGATATTGTTTGTATTGAAAATGTATAGAGAATGGCCACTCGAATGTTGGATGATCAGCATGGGTTTCCACATGAAGACCGATGGGCTAACTTAAGATTGTCTTTAGTGAGGAGACGCAGAATGAGTGGGGACTTAATCGACCCATTCAAAGTTTGGGAGGTCTCAGTGTTCTCAGGCTCACTTATCTTGCTGTAACCACGTAGGTCAGATCATTTACAGGGCCGTTGTCTAAAATTGAAGCAACATAGATCTAGGCTCGAACTAAGAGCTAACTTCTTCTCAAATCGGATTGTGCTTAGTTAGAATAGACCTCACTCTGAATTATTGGAATGTCAGACGGTAGAGGAATTCAAGCAATGCTTGGCTTTATGCCCTTATTTCCTGTGTGAGTCATGGAAGCCTCTAACCACGTGCTTATGGAACCACGTGAATATGTTGTGTGTTTTGCTCTTACTTCTCTTCTTCCCAATTAATAAGGCAAAATAAGTTGTTATGAAGTCGAGTTGCTGGGGACTCTGTTCGCTTACTGGAAAACGAAACCGGACACAGGTTAACCGAAAGCTTCTTTCGTTTCTGGATCCTCTCTTGTCTTTTCATTTCGCTAAGCCGTCTGCCCAAAATATCCTTCGCTCGGACACATGATTCCGGAGATAAGTTGTACGCATCTGTTGGAAGTGTTTGTGGAATTTGCCCACCACTCCTGTCTATTTCACCACACGTATCATTTAAGCCCACTATGTAATAATTTCAGATTGCACGCTCAGTTTCCAATCCCATATGGCAGACCGTTTGCCGACGACTGTATAAGTTCTCTTTCCAGATGCACCCATCTTGCGTGATAGTTCAGGCCGCATCTTGTATGAAATCAGGCGGGCTATGGGTTGGGTGATATGCGGTAAGCATGGGCAAACAGCGTGTAATATCCCTCGGTGAGCCCACACTAGTTGCTATTTCCAAGCCTGTAGCACACAGACCGTTATTTACTCGATAGTCCAAACTATCGCTGAATGAGAGCCACAGGCCATACGCTCGATTTGCGGCGCACGGTTTTCTTTAACAATGTACGATTTTCGTTTTAGTATCAGGTGATGATGTGGTGAAAAGGGTGCAAACATAAGGATGCTCACAGTTGCAGTTCTCATACAGTATAAACAGCAACCTCTGTACTTCCCTCCCTTGGCAATGGATATTGGAGCAATTCGACATGTTCGATAATATCTGACCAACTGAGCGGATCCTGAGTTTAGTATCACCGGATTTTTCGATGAAAGTTGAGCGAAGATGATCTGCGTCCTTGTGATACCATCAGCAGTCAAGACAATTGGTGACTGGGGGACATCGGGTGCCTCAACACATCACGTCAGTTTATTCTACTGTGACATTTGTGCAAGTCGATTAGAGGCGTGTTTTAGGAGCGTTGGGGTGTTCAACGTGGGTTTGATGCAGAACATTCGATATTGTGAATATGTCGAGGTACCAGGAAAGAAACGTTAAACCCTTCTAGTCCGGTAGTCAGTTGTTACCATGCAAGGCAATATAGCAAACGAGTGTTTGCTGCCCGCTGACGGTAGAATATTCATTTATACACATGGAGATCATAAGATGGCATGCAGATTCATTCAGACCATGGATATTGAAGATGAACATGAGAGAAGAAATAAGCAGAGCAATAAAAATATTTGCGAGTTCACTAGAACAAACCAATTGTAGTTTGCTGCTAAACTAGATATGAGGGAGCAGTCGAATTCTAAGTCTGTTTTGTTAGCAATCGACGAAACCTGTCCGCCGCTACACAGCGTGTTAGATGTGTGGAAGGATCGTTAACCTATTGGAAGATTTTGGCAGATTTTCAGAGAAGAACCCAAGTTGTATCCGTAAGAACCTGAATAACCATGTGAGCATTTCCCTGACGGCTGCTGTAATAGCATAAATCCCTAATCTGGAAGTCTTCTGGGAAATTTCAGTTAATTAGCTGTATATATATGTCAACTTCTGTGAACTCAGAGCATGTCAAATTGGTATCACTTTGAATGAAATAAGTGTAGGTCGAGGCATGAACAATCGAAACGTCAAACTAGCGTTCTCTGCTTCCACTAAATGTGGATCGGCAGACAAACGGAAGTCTAACGGTGAGGTGCGGATTCCGAATCTACAATGGTATGCATTCTGTACTAACGAGCTAGAAGGTACACAAGAGTCAGCTCTCGTTACTGTCATTGGTGAAATTGCATGGTGGGATATGTCAGTTGGATATGGGCTGCAATTTGGTCACGAAGCACGTAATACTGGCTGCCGTGCGAGTAGCTAATTGGGAAGGTGTGAAGAACACATTCAAGTCTCCACAATCAACGTCATGACGGAAATGGGGAGGTAAATAGATGTTGGTCTTAGTTCCGCGGCCGATGCGGGAAATGAAGAAATTGTGCATAACATTCTTCAACAGATTAAGAGTAAAAAGTATTTCTACTCGCTTAGAAAATGTGCTCATTGGAATGTATTACCAAAATATGTGGTGAACTCACCAGGCATCACAACATTCGAAAGACTCTTAGACTTTCATCTTAGTGATAAACGACACAAAATACTTTGCTAAGGTGCAATGATTTAACCACTGCTAGTTCACGTTCTACATTGGAACATGTTGATAATAATTTTCTTTTGCAAATACATTCTGCGGGTCTTGTAAATTTATGCTTTTTATCCCATCATACACCATTGAACCATTGAAATGTGGAGGTAAATTGACGTCGGTCTTGGTCCAGCGGCCGATGCGGGAAATGAAGCAAGTGTGCATGAGATTATAACACAGATTAAGAGGAGCTGCTGTTTTGTGAGTGGGACATGAAACGTGTTCGATGCAAACTGCAAGAGGGCAGCTATAAACCAATAAGGTTAAGATGCAAGGAAGAAGGATGAAAAGACCAGCATTGAACAAATATCCGGTTTGGAACCGTCCAGAATCCAAATAGCATACTTACTCTCCTCCTCTGTTGTAGTCTCAGCGGCCGTCGTAGCTGCAATCAAGAGACATAACGAAGAGTCAAATGCAATATGAACCAAAAGTGTTTCACAGTACAGTCTAAACTTTGTGTGATTACATTTAGCCTATATTCTTAAGGGAATTCAAGTTCGAGCAGCTAGGAATCGCGTGAACATACTCTATGAATTTCGTCCACTTGTACGATTCCACAAAGAGTTAAGATGAACGAGGTCCAGGTTGCCCACACTGATGAGGAATGGGTGGCGTGTGAGCAGGCCGTGATGTTTTGACCTAGTTTGCTGGAGACAAATGCCCGCAGATCGATTACGAGACGCGGGTATATTATTATCAATGCGATCACCTCCTCACAGATTCGGGTTCCCTAATTCCAACTTATCTTTACGACACAGATTCTCCAGCACCAGACCACATTAGTACAGCAGATGCGTCACAGGTGCAGACGACGAGTTATGTATCGATTGACGTCGCAAGTGGATTAATTAGCAATGGCTTGTCGATGAAAATACATAGCCTCTTATTCGTTCAGCTTGTTGTGATGTATTGTACGGCTGATCAGTTCAAGCTGCTGATGTTTTAAGAGGATGTGATTTGCCTGATGACTCACTTAAATCCCTTATCCGTAATGCAGACATGCATTTACCTAGCAGTGCAATTTTTGGATATTTGTCTATGCCTCTCACTTTCAAAAACGTTTAGGTTTGCGTTTGTTTAGTTGTCTAGGTCGTCCAACATTCTACCTGATCGCTTCGATCAAGTTATGTCGTTTTACTGGTCGGGTTCCAATAAGTTTGTACGTTTTTCGCGGACCCGAAATGACTTATCTGCCCGTTCTGTTTTTCACTGTACTCCGCAGGATATCATGTTTCAATGTCGCATTGCCGTGTTAAGTGTTGTCTCAAGCCCAATCACTATGGTGTGCATATTTTGCATAAATGTTGGCTCTAAGTACATTTTTCCTACCATAGATTTGACCATACCCTTTTCTCATCATTCCGGAACAGCAAGTATTGCTTTTACCCACACACTGCATCTCCTCAATATCCGGGGTGCACACAGCACCCGGGTGCCTTATTCGAAGCACCAATCCACAGTGCTCATCATAGCCTGATTTGTAACTCTTTGTGAGTTGATGAAACTTGAGGAACGTTTGCAACCATCGTCAATATAGGATTTCTTCGCTTGCGTATAAGCGCAGTTTGCTTCGCCGATATAGCATGAAATGATGTGTTGATCGCCGCAACATTTAAAATATGCAGTCATCGCGATTGCATTCAGCTTTCGGTGAAGTCGGTTTGGCTATTATCACTGCCTACACGGTTACTCGGCTGGCTTGTCCATCTACCTCCTCGTGGTTCCAGCTGGATAGTTGGTGTTATCCCATTCCAGCGAAAGTTTCAGTGGCAGTGTTCTAGGGCATATTTGTTTTCGCCTGGCATGCGTATTTCCTTTTAAATCCACGCATGTCCGCTTAACTACACTGAGACGTGGCGGATGTGATACGCCAAAAAATTAAATCGCTGCCACTTTCTTCCCCTCGCTGGAGCATTGCGATCATCCTGCTCGACACTGAAATTCTGGAGGTATTGGGCCCCTGTTTGACAACCAGTCAAATGAAAGCCGTATGTATCGAGCAATCGGTCACCGGCTCCCAATGAGGATGATTCCCTGCAGTCGCTGGGCTGCCTTTCTGGTCAGGTCGTTATGACCAAAGGCTCCGGGTGCGGCCCCTTATTTTAACCCCCTTCGTCGATCTGCGCAACCGGGAAGCTGTATACACCCACAACACATGAAATGATGGTATTACAACTCACTGCTCACGTTTCTCGCTCTCTGAACTGTCTATATTTTGCCGGGTTGCTGGCGGCCGGACATGCTAAACCTCCCTCTATCGCACCACAAACCACGTTCTGCCTTCCACGCTTATTCAATTCTCCAGTTCTTGGTAACCCCCTTCAATTTCGTATCTCCAAAATTGCATTGCAAGTACAAACCGTGCCGTTGGCCTCATCAATGAACCGCTTAAAACCGCTCGCATACATTCCAATACCAACAGCAAGGCTTTGATTGTACCCCACTCGTTCTTCAAGCTAGCTACTTTCAATGTTCGAATGCTCATGCAGATTGGTTCGCAAGCTGGTCTTGCGCGCAACTTGGAAACCCTTTTAATCGACGTTTGTTGCCGAACCAACACCGGTTTACAAGACTTCAGCAGAACGCTGCGATTACTCTCACCCTCCCCAAGTTCCAATTGCACATTCACTTTACGCTTATCTGGAGATGCGACAGCGGCAGTCTCTGGTTGTGCTGGCGTAGGAGTTGCGTTAAGCGCGCATGGTGAGCAGCGTCCATTGACTGGTTCCCGGTCAACAGTCGTCTTTGTTCAGTCCGCTTGGGAAGCTCAGTGCGATCTTCCAGCTGCGGGATCGAAGGCGTTGCATATTTATTTTGGCGTCGTACGCTCCAACGGACGGTAGCCGGGAGGAAGCTAAAGACGAGTTCAACCGCCAACTCATCGACCTCCACCGCATGAAACGCCGCATGGACATCGTGATTCAGCCAATAACGACGCGCGATACTTGCAGCGAAATCGTCATGAAGCTGAATTCTTCAACGAGGATATCTTGTCAGCGAGTACGGTTTAATTCATTAGTCGCGAGCTGCCTCTCTTTCACCGGTCGTGGTATGACAACCTTTAACACCGGCAGTGCACATTTCTCTCTACGCATGGCCTATTCCGTGGTTGCCGCTCAATGTACATTAGAAGTCCAACCATCTTATTCTTGATGTCGTCAGCTTGCCTTTACCGACAAGTTTGCTAGCCTTACATGGTGATTACACTTACCTTCATCAAATGACCCAATTCGGCAGAGAACATGCCTCTCAGCATAACCGTAGGCCAACACCTTGCATGCCAATCGGTTATACGGAAGGAATTAACGGTAGGTGTGCGGTACTATTATAGCGCAGTGCCGAGATTCGGTGTGACGTTATTCAATGCGATCATGACATTCAGCCGCTTGAGAGAAACAAGTTAGAGGTGGAAGACTAACTAAACTGAATTGCCTGATCATCTAGATCCCGAATACTTGTCATGTTTCGTCTCACGGGCATTTGCTTTATATCAACTTGTATAAAAGTTTAGAGGAACATTGTGCATACCAATTTTACATTGTCCATTTTCGTGTTATGCTAATTAGTTATCGATCCCCAGACAAAGCAGTACATCCGGCATCCGGAATTCTCGGCCACAGCCCCGATCACGGTGTTTGTAAAATCTGTCAGGAATCTTCTTCTTTTCGGTGGGAGTTGTGAATTGTATAGCTACGAAGTATGCTTGATGGCTGCTGCTGGCCACATTTTCATGGCAGTTACTTCGTTCAATATCTCATCTTTGTCATCTCCTACCTGGTTTTTGATGTGCCCAACATATTTTCCTTTTCGCTCACTCCTGTGGTAGTGTTTTCCGTGTGTGCATAATCAAAAGATAATATTTCCCGTGTATTGCCTGTTCTCTTGTGGTTTTCATGGAATCAACAGACGCAATTTATTGTGGTGAGCATAGCTGCAAGTGTGTGGTAGAAAAAGGCATTACATGTGACAAGTTCCTCCTACTCTGGTACCACAATGTTTGTTCACGGTTGGAAGAGCAGGTGTTCCCTGAATTGAACTGGATTAGTTTCCAGTGTGTGTGCGACTGCGCCTGCCGGACACCTGCATACGTTTCCTGGGTGGCGAACTTCTGGTTCACCTACGTCATGTATCTAAGAGGCAAACGATCACCGACAAGAACCAGTTGCGTAGGCTCATCATGACAGAGAAGATGATCGGGGAACAAGAAACTCTCGTTGATGTGCAACGAGCAAAAGTTGATGAGTAACACTCACATTTCCATCAGTATGTGAGTAGTAGGAAAATTTCTTTGGGCAGGTAGAGACACGTGTTTACTCACAACCTGGGGAATCAGTAACCAGGTTGGCTAAGGATAGGCGTGATTTGGATGCGGACATGTTTGCGATATACTCGGTACTTTTGGTATATCACCTCGAATTGGCATCGAGAGGATTCATCGAGTTGGCGGCTCGTAGAACGGAAAAGCTTTTCACCCGAGGGGCCATGCAAGGCAGATTTTATTGTATTTAAGTATCCGATGTCTGGTGCTCTTCTTCTTAAACGAGCAGGCTTATTAACTAGTCAATCAATAGCCTATATCAGGTGGCTCTCGATACGCTGGCATCAAGAGCCACAGCCACTTCATTTGTACCACTGAAGAAAGCTAACATCGGATTTGTTGTGCCGGTGAGGAGTGATTTAAATGAGAAACCTCTTCTTCTGGATCTCCGACCAGAAATTATGTATGGTGAAGCTCGAGGATTCACAAACTAGCGGTTCTTCTTTTCTATTTTTATCGCACTTCTCCACGTAACGCAACTCAACACCTGAAACCGACTACTCAACACCCGAAACCGTCTACGACCTAGAGGCTGCTTTATGGTGCGGTTTACAACAAAAGTACATACACTTTCTTATCAGGGGTGATTTCAACGTACATTATTTAGAAGCACCCGCCACGACTGGCGAACAAGTCAAAATCGATCTACAAGATCTAGTACCTACTGGTCCTTTTTACAATCACATCACTTTGCCCACTCGGTTCAGAACTGGTAACAGGCCATCTGTGCTGGATCTTGTGCCTACCAACGAGGAGCATATGATAGATGCGTTGGTTTTAGGCTGCCCGTTGGGTCGCAGTGATCACCTACTGATCAGTTTCAACTTCGTCTGCTATGCAGATTATCTGAATGATAACGATGAGACTGTGCGAACCATCACAAGCTATGATTGATTAGCCCACCTAGTCAGCGCCACAACTTGGTCTTTCCTCCAAGAAGAACCCCCAGGAAGTCGCCTGGTTCGAGTTCGTCAAAAACTTCAGTCAGCTGATTGCATAGGCTTCAGAGATAAAAGCTTGCAAAAGGGCAAATCAGTTTCTTTCGTTAGGAGCAGAACTCGAAAACGGATGCCAATACGCAACGCAGCATGGTGAGTGTACAGAGAAGCTCCAGCACCAGAAACTTGGGACAACTAAATACCACAACGTAACCACTGCACTCAACTGTTAAGAGAAAATAAAGCCGCCTATCAGCGGAACATCGCAACAACCTTCAGTGCTAACCACAAACTGCTGTACAAGCAGTTAATAGCCAAGGAAAGTTGAGGCAAGAATTTCCTCCACTCAAGACGGCTGATGGCTCAACAAGAACGTCTGTGGAAGTAGCAAACGCGCTGCAGATGCAATACGCCCCCACGTTTCAAAGGGTCTTGCCACCAAGCGATCTACCAAGCTTTGTCTTCTGCACGCCAGAACTAACCCACATCACTTTTATCGCGGAGGCTGTATTGCGAAAGCTCAGGTCTGTACGCAAACACAGCTCGCCGGGTGTCGACACCATTCGTCCGGAGGCACTGGAATCAGCTGCAAGCCAACTGGCAGGACATTTAGTTCAGTTTTTTCAGCACTGCTTAGACCAGAACCAAATTCTCGCCATGTGGAAGCATGGAATAGCAACCCTGATTCACAAAGGTGGAAGCAGAACTGATCCCTCCAACTACCGCCCAGTATCCCTTTTTCCTATACTCTCCATGGTCATGGAATCCATAGTTGCCGATGCACTGGTGTGCCATCTGGAAAACTGCAACACCATCACTCCTGAACAGCATGGTTTCCGTCGACAGCGGTCATGTACAACGAATTTACTATTTGCACGCAGTAGTTGGACCGAGGCAGCTGACGATGGAGAAGGTGTTGATGTGATCTACCTGGATTTTTCCAAGGCTTTCGATCGCCTGAACCATCGGATACTACTATCCAAGCTGCAGCATTACGGGATCGGAGACCCTCTTCTAAGCTGGATCGCCAACTTTCTACTTCAACGGCAATTAGTGGTCAGAGTTCGGAGCTCTTTATCGGACCCCATACAAGTCGAGTGTGGTGTGCCGCAAGGCTCAGTTCTAGGTCCACGTTTGTTTTTGGTGTTTATTAATGACCTTGCACAGGGAATCGCTTCAAACCTCCTAATGTTTGCCGACGATATCAAGATCTGGCACAGGATCCAGGCGAACGCCGACCATCATGTTCTTCAGAGTGGTTTAGAAACGGTTTATCAATAGTCGACCCAAAACTTATTGCATTTCAACGTCAGTAAATACAAGATGCTTTCCATCCGACATCAGAGCAGCTACTCATACCGACTCGGAACGAATATACTGCAACAATCAACTCTGGAACGTGACTTGGGTGTCCTGGTTCAAGATGACTTGGGGTGCTCCAGGCAATCCGAAGAGGCCTCGAAAACCGGAAACCAACACGTCGGGCTGTTAAAGCGGGCGTTTGGACAAATAAGCAGCTCCATATTTCGACAAATGCTCAGTGCGTATGTTCGCCCCCATGTCGAATATGCAGTTCAAGCCTGGCTTCCAAGGCTGAAACACGACCATAATGCACTGGAGCAGCCACAACGCCGGGCATCTAAGAACGTAATTGGAATGCGCAATCTTTCCTACCAGGAGAGGCTGAAACGATTGGGATTGTTCAGTGGAAGCTATCGCAGACTACGAGGCGACCTGATTATGGCATATTTGATTCTGCGAGACCCACATCAAATATGCCGCCCTTTACTGCAACTCAGCAGCAATACAAACCTGAGGGGCCACTCATTAAAACTCGCAGAACAATACAGTTGTCTGGAGTGTCGCTGAGTTAACCATGGAATTATTGGTTGTTAACTTTGGATGCTGTGAATCTAAGAGGATCGCAAAACTGCAGCGAAGCAAACGATAACTCCTTATTTTCATATTTAAAGTAGTAACTATTTTACTATCCATATCATCATTATTGTTGTGTTGATATCCCCACCAACTATCCAACGGGACTTGTAAAGCAACGCTTCTTAACCCGTATAAATTCACTGTTCATTGTTCATTGTACAGCATAACTAGCTCTTCATGTGGTCATTCAAAATGTACGTCTTATGTGAAGTTCATATGTTAAGTTGCTGAAGAACGTGGCCCCGAATTCTATGTTGACAGTGCTTCAGGTTGCATGTGAGCCATCGAGTAAGACTACTGTCAATAATGCAAGAGGAAGAGACGGATGGTCATCAGATACCGGACTTTAGGAGGCGCCCTCCGATGACACTTCCAGGAGTGTGCATTCGTCCCGGTCAAGTTCACCTGCAAGGCCGTTGATGAATGAGATCAAGCGTACCCGCCGAAGAGTGAAAATATAGATTGAGACCCGAGTCATCAAAACAATCAGTGAAGATGACGTAAATGCCAACTGCTCGTGCAGCGCTGTTCAATCTCCTCAGACCCAAGTAGAAGCCGCAGTTACCACTTTTAATAGAGGGGCAAAAACCAGGCTGTTCCCTAGGGTTTTTTGCTCGAAGGGAGCTATAAATTGACGATGAAGAGCAGAAAGCGCCTACGGTAGACATCACTAAATATATGGTACAAAGTGCTTGTAACTTAAAGAAGAAATTGGGGAACTGGCGCTGAGTTACTGAGATGTTGATATGGCTGTGATTACAGAGACAGGCTTTCTTCAGATGATTCAGTTAATTATTGTCTCCTAACGGAATTATCGTGATATAGCAAGGATGCACCAGTGTGTCAAATTCGAGGTGTGGTGTTTTTGCCTATTCCTCCTCACTACAGTCATTAGGCACCTCCGTTCAACATGCGAACTACAGCTGATCAAATCACCCATCTATTTCTGAGAGTAGAATGAACAGTTGAATCAATTATTTGGGTTTACTGTAGCCCATGTATTGACGGGAGGAGGGGACAAGGAGCGTAGTAAGCTGATAAAATTAGCTGCGGCGTTAGCGAAAAGATTTGTAATAGTCAGTGACAACCTACAACATACCGACCACGAGCATGGGCTCGAGAGGGCAGGCTATTTGGAAGTGGATTTAGGACAGTGGATGCAAGCACACGCCTTTGTGAAGGAGGCCATTATTCTAGTAGAAGACGTGGGGAGAATTTCCCATCTTAATTAGATGTGATAAAAAACTTAATCGCCCGTCAGACATTACCGAGGAATCTTCATCAATAGGAGCGCTGACCGTAATTAACCTTCCAATAATTTGCTGCAGCTCTCAGCTGAACTTAGTTTGACACCTAAATTGAAGGATAGAGCTATGCGTATCACATCCGTTCCTGAAAAGGAAGAGGCAACACAGGAACAGAGGTAGCATATGATCAAAAGCGGTCTCACGCAGCAACTGGATGAATTCACACTCTTGCGCAGAATGTGCCACTCGGACAAGCCTCGTTAGTGGCGTCGAAGAACTGATTGAATGTAGAAGTGACGTAATGCTTTATGGAAAAGCTGCAAGGAGTCCGGTGGATTCCTTTGGTGGCTGAAGCACAAAATTGTCACAACTTGGTCGTCACATTGGTGGTTAAATTGCAAAAACAGACCAAATACTCATCCGAGCGTAGAATGGTGTATAGTTTAAGGACGAATCCGAAACGTCCTATAGCCGCATGCAGTCGAAGTCCCCCTTAAGTCGTTGACAATTTAATCACAGGGGACAATCTTCAGCTAGTGGACAGCGGTATTCTCTCCGGTCGCGGTCCCATCGTGTTATCGCGGGGAAAATGAAGAAAATCTGCTAACGGTATCAGATTTCTTCTCTGTCCTGAAAGAATTAAACCCCTACAAATCCATTGGTTCTGCTTCCAACCATGATCAATCCAATCGGCAATATTTTCCAGCTTCTAGTTCTCGAACTGTACAGCATACGTTATCGTGAATGAAGGGTACGGCGGAATTGGAAGGAGGCAGTTTTAGTGGCGATCCATAAATGTGCTCCTAAATCATCACACAATGATTACAGGCCTGTTAGTCTGACTAACGTGTTAGATGTGCCTGGAAAATGTTATCAGAGATCGAATCTGTGAGCGTCTGACTGCTCACAACTTGATCGGAGTGGAACAGCCTGGCTTTATGAAGAGAATGTCATGCTCACTAACCTGCTGTGTTTCCCTGCTGAAATAACTCGGTGTCTTGATGAAGGGATTACGCTAGACCTTTGGATTCGGTGAATCACCGTTTCTTGCTAGAATGGATGACCGGTATTGGACTCCAGGCTCAGCGGCCTTCTTGGCTCGTCGCGTTCCGATACTGTACGACAAATCGTGTTGGGTTTGGTGAGGTGACCTAATGCTTAGGTACTACAAATATTGGTATCCGCAGACTTCCGTGTAAGATCCGTTGCTGTTTCTTATTTTGAAATTGACTTAGCTCCTTTATTTGAGGGTAATTCCAATTTTTGTTGAATGCAAGCTTTTTAGTAAGGTGAACGTGACGGGAGAGCCCATGGTGCGCTGAAGCTTGTGATGACGACTTCCTGACAGGTCGTTTATCAGCTGATGCTGATATTGTGCTGTGGGCTCATGTCCCGGACGCCTCGTCATGCGACCCTGGGGTGGGTATTGATTTACATCTTTTTTCTAGCTAAGATGCAGGACACAATTCCACGTAAGTCGGTTCACAGACTCATGGCGCTCGGCCCGCTGCCTTTCGGGTGTATAATTTACAGAAGGCTTTGGCTGAGGGCCCGAGTCGTTCTCTTGTCAAGTTTCTGCACCCTGGCATTATCGTAGTTCAACCCCTCAACAATGAATTTTGACAGTAGTAGTACATCGATGCTGCATCGGCCATCGGGCAAAGGCCTTAGAAAATAGGTCGACTCATCTGCTGCATACAGCGGGGTGGATAAGCGAGAACATGCTACTGCTGGCGCCTCCCTTCTTCCTTATTCCCCGTCACATTCTCTCCCTCTCCCCGGTTCAACTAACGCACTACTTCCTCCAATCCAGGACGTCACCTTCCATACGGTTGCCCACCCATGCAATCGTATGCCTTCGCGCAGGGCGCTCAACATTGGGTGCTGGAGCGTGCATACTTTGCTCAACCGGAATACGAGTGAGCGTCCGGAGGGACACATTGCACTAATCACAATTGAACTGACGAGCTACGATATTGAGATTGCGGCGCTCAGTGAGATTCGGCTCGCTGGGCAAGGGAAGATGAACGAATTTGGTGCTGGCTATACATTCTACTTTGTGGGAAACCGCACCTTAGTACCACGTGAACCTGGGATCGGATTTGCACTAGCGGATCGCCTCACTGTCCACCTGGTGGTTGAGCCGAGAGACATTATCACGCGACTGATGGCTGCTCGCCTACGACTCGAAAGAGATAAGTTTGCCACTTTTATAAACACGTACGGTCAAACATGCGTTATTCTGATGACTCGCGTGCTCAATTCTACACTCAGTTATCCTCCGTGATACTGTCTGCGCCGAGGAGCGACCGACTATTCCTGCTGCTGATTGCAATTCGCAATTTGATCGTAATGCATCGGTGAGGAGAGAGGTCATCGTTCCGCATGGTATTGGTTCATGGAATTCCAATGGTGACAGGCTGCTCTCACTGTGTGCAGCGCACGACGTGACGATCAGGAAGACTCGGTTTGCACTGAGTATGAGGGATATATCAAACTGGTTGCACCCACGGAGTGGTCATGCTCTCCTGCTCGACTTTGTCATCGTACGTCAGCGTGACATGAGTGAAGTGCGCGTGACACGTTAACTGCGTGGAGCTGAGTGTGTCACTGGTCACCAGGTAGTGCGAACCAAGTTGTACATATGTTTTCATAAATCTATGTGTTGCACTCTTGCCGTGAATCGGCGTAAATTTAACATTCTCACCCTCGGTACTGTGGGGAGTCCTACTGAGCTGTAGAAGGCGATGTCTGCACGCCTGTGTGATGTGGAACGCATGGCTACTTTGGGCGACCTATGGCACCACGTTCGCGACCAGGTGACAGCTGCTGCCGAAGAGACCATCGGGTGCGCAAACTGTAAGCGCCCCATTGGTTTAATGACAACAATGCGACGATTTTATTGTTGGTGTCTGAGAAGAATGCAACATTTTCTACACATGTGGCAGACACCAGTGTACTGGGGAAGAAGGCTCAGTTTCTTAAACTTCCGCGGCGACTAACTTGAGTGATCCGTCGCATTAACAATACATGGTGGACGGAAAAGACGAAGCAGATGGAACGCGACACCGAACGCCGCCAACACAAGGATTACCTTGACTCCTTGATGGCGGTGTATGCACCGAGGTTGGAGCCGTTGAGGACGCTAATCGATGGCAGCTGAGGCACTACCAGCACACAGACTGCAGACATAATGCAGGTCTGGCGGAAACACTCTAACTATCTCTTGAACAACCGTTCTGAGATTGACTGGCCTATCTTGAACGGCCTGAATCAGCAAGAGTTGAAGGTGTGTTTGGCGGACATGCCGAAACTGGATGAGACGTAAAGAGTACTTGAACAGTCGTGAAACGGCAAGTGTGCAGGTGCCGACGGGATTCCTCCTGAAGTATTGAAAATCGGCGGACCCGCGTTGGTGACTGGGATGCATCACTTAGTGTAAGGCGTGTGCATTGAAGAGGAAGTGCCACCCGAGCTAAAGGATGCCCTTGTGCTACCTAAAAGTGTACAAGAGCAAAGAGAACAAGCGATGTTACCTGCATTATCGGAGTATCAATTTGCTGAGTTGTGTGAGCAAGGTGATTGCGCGAATCCTGCTCAACCGCCTCCTCGGTCAGGTTGTGGAACCGAACGCGGCGGACGAGCAGTGTGGATTCCGTTCGGGTCGCAGCACCATCGTTGTGGCGTTTGCGCCACGTCAGTAGCAGGAGAAGCGTAGAGAACGACACTATCCGCTGTACTCTCTGTTTGTTGATTTCACCGAGGCATTTGATACGGTGAGCCGCGAGGTATTGTGGCTGTTATTGCGTGAGTTTGGTTGTCCGCGTAAGTTTGTTAATTTACTTGAGTGTCTTCACAGTGGTATGCTGGCGGGGGTGCGGCTGTGTGGACAAACCTCGGATGACTTTGCAGTTGTCACTGGTGTGAAGCAAGCTGTGTCTTAGCTCCTGACCTGCTGAATATCTTCATGCAATGATGTCTTGTGCTTTTGATACAGCTTGTGCTTACGGTGTTCATATGGAGCACCGTATTGATGTTGGATTGTAAACATCTGTCGTTTCGGTGCAAGGACTATAGTCTGTGAGACAACTATCCGTATGTTGCTGTGTGCTGCCGACTATGCGTTGTTTGCGCATAGCTAGGATGAATTGTGGTACATGACTTTGGCTCTGGCTTCGTGCTCACCGACAATACTAGCAAGACTGTTTGTCTTTTTCAGCCTTCACCCGGAATGGAGTTCGTGGGACTGCCGCAAATCCAGATTGACGACTAAGTGTTGGAACCAAGTTCGAGGTCTCGCTACTTTGGTAGCGTAATAAGAACCGACGAGCATATGACGAGCGATCTTCGCAGCCGCGTATGGAAGACTGCTTCTGCTTTTGACAAGCTGAAATGCCAGAGGTGGGAAAGCACCAGCTCAC